CGAATTTCTTTTCGCAATCAATGAATTTTTGAATAACACAAATTATTTAAATTGCTCTCTAAAGCCAATCGATTAAATTGTTTGCATCGAAAAATTGCGACAATATCGAATAGAAATGGACGGACGATCGGTTGGAAGTTGGAAGTGTTTAAAGCAACTAATTCAACCTGCGACCCGCGACGCCGTAGCGCGTTCATACATCGAGTATAGTTTTTGCCATTCACTGAAACTCCGTTCCCAGAAGAGCACGGCACGCAGATGGTGCTGAAATTGTTGTTGGAACGTTGTTAAAGGAGCAACGTGCGTAAGCCAGCCACGCTTTCCCTCTATCTATCGTTCTCGGCGTTAGGTCCCGTTAACATCTTTGTATGCAATATGGAAATCTCATGCGAGACTTCAGAACTAATCGTTACGCATTTCTCTGCGTACAGACAACGGCATTAAGGAGTGCGTGATCGTGCGTTCAACTTCCTTGAACAGATGGGCCAAGTTCTCGTCTGAATAAGAATCTCGAATAACAAATGAAACATTAATCATTTTTTCTTCGATACTCGTGGAATAATTATTAGAGTTTCGATTGGGGAATTAAATATTTCACGATACCCAACTAAACGTTAAATTCGATCGAATAAATGTTACGACTAAATTGCTATTTATCGTCTGTTGTAGGAATAAGATGTCTTCGAATACAATTTGTTACGTAAATATTACATGCATGCTGCTTTAGTGATTAGAAGGTCCATCTACCTCGTTTGCTAATAATTTTCTATTCGACACTTGTAGACCAAACATGCAAGTTTTAATTATAGAGTTAGGTATTGTGCGATACGAAAATAAAATTTGAATTCAATAGAATATACCTCGCGAATAAATTGTAGTTCGTTGGTTTTATTCGTCATTTGTTATTCGAATTAAATGTTTCAAGTAAATATTCCAAGTACATGTTGCTCTATTAATCAAAAGACTGATCCGCTTTCCTTGTTGCTTGTTTAAAAATTATTGAGCATATGGAGCAATTTAGTAGCGTTATTTTTGATTATATTAATTAGGTAGTATACCGTGTACGAATTATTCGCCTCCGAAAATAATTAAGCTCGCTAAAGGACATCGATTAATTCTACACTGTACAATGTTTTTTCTTACTTATGAATAAATCGATAATTATTCAAAAATACACGAAGCGTACCGCACGACAAATTTTGTAATATGATCGACTAGAAATATCTACAACTGCGTATGTTTCAAAATCGTTCGATGTTGAAAACAATGCTTAAAATAGGTCAACTTTAACATTGAAAGCTTGTGGCGCCTCGATGCCGCGCGGCTTCGCGAGTTTTATTTCTTTTCTGTCGGATGTTCCCAAAGTCAAACGTGCGCGAGCATTTCGAAATATAGATTTTGTACATGAAAATTTCAGAAATTAGGCGATCCGTTATTATTGTCCAATTCCGCATCGTTATGTATCTGTTCGAATAAGTATATAAGTATTTATATAAATACTGCTATTAGTCTTTTAAAACTATTCTTTAAGTTATTTTTAAATTATATTTCTCTTCCGAAGATATTTACTCATGGAACGTCGAAGTAGGTTTCTAGTCGTGTTACCTGAATTTATCAAAATATCACGATTAATTTATTTGCAAATGTTTACGCATCAATTGTATCGAATGTCACTCTTTGAATCCTTGGATATCGATTGCACAAACCATTCATCTAAAGAAATTTCAACTGAGCCGTCCTTGAACCATCGTGCAACAAGATATTTTAATTAATTTTTAAAAAAGTTGTTAACTGATTAAAAAATCAATTAATTGTTCATACCTTCGCAGTATGTTGAGACTTTATATCGAAGGCTTAGCGTTTCAGGTTCGTGCACACCTCGTAACTTTGAATTGTTGTAACTCATTTTACTGTGAACCAAAATGGTTGTTTTAACCTCCAATAATTGTAATTCTACAGTAATTGTAGAATCGATGCACGTGAACATGAGATTTCAATATTTATTCCTATTTCTTGACGATTAATGGAGCTGTAAAATTATCGTTTACCTCAGAATTGTTACTTCCTGTATTAAAATGAGTATTTGCAGAATATTTCCTTTAAATTTTACTCAACTCTGACTGTTCACGTAAGAATTATTGCTTCCTATTTTAAATATTATATTATCGAAATTAAACATCACGTATTATTGAAAATCAATAGATTGGAAAATATTATATCACTACAGATTAATTTTTCAGTACTCTGATTGTTCGATTCAGAAATGGTTTTCGGAATTAAAATCAAATTAAATGCGAGACTTGAAACGAGAAATTACGATCTTCACGGTTCAAGTGACTCTGTTTTCGCCGACTTCCTACACGCGAGTTCAGTCAACGGTTTCTTTCTGCCTTTCATTCGACCTTCAACGCCACGTACCTTTTGATTACCTCATCGCCAACCAGAACAAGTCCGCCCCTGCGTTTCAACCAGGAAAATTGATCGATCATTTTCCATACGGCGCGTCTGCTTACATGTGCGAGCTCCATGACATTGGAAAACGCTTTTAAGCGGTTATTCTCCCGGCGAGTGGTTTCCAATGAGTGCACACCGACTATTTCAGCCAGTTCGCCATACTTTCATCCACAGCTGGATAAAGTGAAGAGAAAAGAATATTTCAGACCCTATTCTCAATAACTGGTTAGATTGATTTTATTAAAGTAATGCTTAATGTCGGGAACAGGAATTGTGAAGCGTGAAAGTAGAGTTGGGTGATATTTAGATGAAAAATTCTTCAAATACCATTTCTAATAATAGATGACGCGTGATTCGTATGAAATAATATTTAAAATAGAAAGCAACATTTCTGAGAAGCAAACGATCAGAGCGATGAGAAATGTAAACACGCGATATTTCAAATACAACCGTAAATAATAGATGCTATATAAAATACATCGAATAATGTTTTTAATGACAAGTTTAATTTCAACAAATACAATATTTTTATTTTACGATCTGAAGCACGAAACAGACTATTGCAACTTTGTATTTTTAATATAAAATTTACGGTAAATTTACATGACAAAAAAAAAATTCCTTGTTATTTTCACTATTCATCAAGTCGGATATCACTGTCAAATACTATTTTAAAAGTTTATCGCAGCAAATTGTTCCATACGCGTTGTATTTTTAAAACGGTCATGGATGGAAGAAAATGTCACGAGGCAAAGTAAAATGGTCACGAACGTGGCATTTCGCTACGTTACTTTTTATAAATTTTTGCGCACCGTTAACAGTTGAAAAGTGCACCTGCATTAAAAAAGAAAATAGAACACTCTTTTGTGTGCACCAACCGATGCACTTGTTCACCCCTTGCGAAATATTATTACAATACAGTGCGTGAAAATTGTTAGTTTACAAGTTGTTTCAATTAAAAGTTTGCTCAATTATTGCTACGCAGAAACACACCTGCGTGTACTGATTCACGTGCGCACCTTTATTATGTTAGTAAACAGCGAATACTGAATACTGATTGATATCTGAAACTGATTTACGTTTACGAACATGATAAAGAATAGTAGATGTATTAATAAAGATAGATAAACCTATTCGAACCATCTATCATTTTAAATACTTTACATGTGTTCATTTAGAAAGTAGTCGTAGCCAATGTTAATTTATAGAACAATTACTTACATGTGCTGTTGATCTTTTTTGTATAATATATTATTTTTTTAGCTCGCAATAACGAATGTTATTAAAATATATTCATTTTTCATTGTTATTATTAAATGTCCTTTTTAACTTATAATCTAAACGATTCTAATCTTCTTAGAACGCATTAAATATTTATTCAAAGCAGATACTTATCAATTTGTATATTACAAATATTAACATAAAATGTATTATTTTTCAATGTTTATTATCAAAAGTTATCAACAATATATTATGAATACATTCTTATAAAATGTATTACACTTGTTGTTCAAAGAAGGTACTTTTTCATTTATATACTACAAAAAGTTGCTATACTAGTTACGGTACAGGTTATACCGAGTGAACGTGATGCATTCGATGTTGCTTTTGCCAATAATAATTATGAGAAAGGAATCCCGTCAGTGTACGATGATTACGTTACAAAACGCACATCGAGAATTGCGTAACGTAGAAGTCGCAGGGTGCACAGCGGGGTTCTCACGTTTAATATTTTGTAGGATACGTTTAACGAGTGTTTCGTGAAATAAAAGGGGAAATTACCATTAATAATTCTATCGTTGTATGCAAATCTCCAGCACTTTCGCATCATTTTTGCTGGAAATTTTGTTTCGAGGTATTTGCCTATGTAGAGGTGGTAATTATTCAGCGTGAATAAGTCCTAGCCTTTCTTATTTCATTCTGTACCTCCCATGCTCGTTATTTTCATTCAATTATAATTTCTATTTTATAACCGAACCATAAAGACGTCCCGTATTCCGTTCTAACATATTATTTTTATCTTTTTATTAAACTTTATTTCATTATGTCTCAGCAACATCACGCAACTCCACTTTAATTGATTCTACATATATTGTTATATCAAGAGTATTACATAACCAACAAACAATTTCATTTAAAAAAAATTAATTAATTATCAATGTTCTTGAGACTGTGTCTAGTACACACATTATCCTATCAAGAGTATTACATAACCAACAAACAATTTCATTTAAAAAAAATTAATTAATTATCAATGTTCTTGAGACTGTGTCTACTACACATATTATCCTATCAAGAGTATTACATAAGCAACAAACAATTTCATTTAAAAAAAAATTGATTATTTATCCATGTTCTTGAGACTGAAACCAGCCACTACTAACGAATACAAACATCATGTTAGTGGGAGGGTGTACCGTCACTCCAATTTCCTATAAAAATTCTCGCTTGAAATCAAGCATCGCTGAAATTAACTGCGACGAGCGTTCCAGGTGAAATCTATTATAGCTCGTCGCTGATGTATGTATTCTGGTTTTTTGTTACAGCCGCCGGAGAACGAGTTGCAGAAGATTGGCGAACGGGTACCCAGCGAGCACGAGCTCCGAGTACAAAGATCTCTGCAACGACTGAACGTTCCCGATTGGTACAAGAACTCTCCCGCGGCTCGCGATGGTTTCCGGTTGAAGAGGCACTCCGACGCGTCGCAGCACGGAGGATGGCGTGCTCTGGGCTCGAAAACCACTTCCCTCTCGTCCCTTTCGTCGTCTTCCAATAGGCAGCCGACTACAGGTAAATACCATCCCGTTCTATGACACCCTCAAACGACCCGTACCTTTGTCGAGGCGGGAAAACATTGCTGTCACGCCACGTGACTCCGGGTCACACTCGAAAATGCGAGCATCGATGCTCTCGCATCGCTTCAAAATACGCTATTCAAGTTCTCTGTTCCATCGCCCTAATAAACTTTTCGTATAAACGGTTATTCGTCAATTTTCGATTCTTTTCATTTAATTTGGTGGAAATATTTGTTAAGCTCCGAAGAAAAAAATGGTCCCTTAAGGGATGAAAATTAGGAGGTCAAATATTAAGTATTTTTCATTTCTTCTTCTTTTTTTTTTTTTTTTTGTTTTTTGTTCGGTTTTACAGAGAAAAATTTATTTAATTTTCGTTCAACTTTGAAACCAGGAAACTCGTTTAAGAAAACCGATTAATAAAATTTAAAAAAAGACAGTCGGGTTAGAGATTGCTCGATCGAGTGACTAAAAAACGATCCGCGGTAAATGGCACGATATCAACGAAACGTGCTCGCGTCTATGCTCTCGTAAAAAGACAAGGAGCGTACGAAATTAGCGCTAGGCGAAACGAGGTGTCAGCCAATTTCATTTCTGCGCGTCTCCGCGTCTCTCTGAGCGATACAGTTGCTGATATTCGCTGTGGACCGCGAGCAACGGCTAATAGAAAGCGTCTAATAAATTTAGTCGGGCACGTTAACACGATTAATTCGTGCCCGTCGCTCGTCTGGCGCAGACCAGAGCCGAGGGGACACGCCGAAGCGAACCCACGCCCACGTCGGGTTACCGCGGAAGGGTTGATTCCTGGGGTAGCTGGGGAACGTTCAAGGACGCTTCTAACGAGAGGAGACAATTTGTTAAGGGAGAGCCCTAATTACGAGATTTACAACGCACCCGTTGCTCAATTGCGGCGACAGGATGGATTTTAATTTAAGCCAGTGTTTCTCAATCTTTTTCGTCTGAACGACTGTTTCGTTAGATTCGATTACTTGATTCGTTGCCACTAATTTCGAAGAGTTTCAAATTTCGTGATAATGGGTATTGTCAAAATGACGTTGGTTAGGTTTAGGTTATGCGTTAGTAAGACGTAATCAAAGAAATTTGAAAACAACGAATAGAAAATATTTACTATTGTATAATTTTATTCTAACATATATAAATAATAGGCTACATGAAAACAGTAGAAAGTTGTGCATTATTAATAACTTCTCGAAGCTTTTCAAAGGCTGACAATAAACTGCTTATTACTTAAACGGAACATTTTGTATATGTGAAATAACTGTTTTAAATTCTATACGTTTTACAATTATTTTTGTTCGAAATGAACAATAGAAAGTTGGGCATTGTCAAAATGTATTACGTTCAGTATAAACGCTATGTGTCCACTCGCTATCGGTGCTGGACAATAGACGAGCTTTCATGCCATCGTTGAAAGCTACCCCGGCAACATATCGCTCGGCTTACAAAACCGTCGATCAAAGTCTGCTACTGTAATCGATTTCAAAGACGGATCGTGTAACGATCACAGCCTGTAAAACGAGCCAAGATTCCAATGTGATATCGCTATATATTCTAGGCCTTAAGCAAGAGATTATGCAGGCTGTTCGCGTCAGTGTTCGTAACTTTTAAAATGATGCACGATTTGAAACGAAACAGTTTTCTTCAAATAACGCGTTAATTCGTTTCATAATTATTCTGATGTCTGTGATTAAAGGATTTTTATGAAACTACACTGCTGTAAAGATTGCTTAAAGTAAATGATTTTTCATAGACAGCCATCAACACGGCAAATAAATTCGAGTAACTAAATAATGCGATTAAAAAGCCTGTAAATAGGCTCCCGGTAAATAAAGTGTTAATTTCTATGTAGATGCAACCTTGTCCACGAATATTTCTGTTATTGAACAGTTTCCTTCGAACGTGTGTTTAGGTGCCCTTCTAAGTCCAAGTCCTACGCCACCTGTATTCTCGAGATGGAGCACCAGTCTGCTGAACAGCGCCGGAAGTTCGCCAGCAAGTTCGGCGAGGTCGTCGTTCAATCATCGACAGCCATATTTGGGTTGGCGTTCGCAGGAACGATTGACAAATCCTCGAACACCGGCCGAACGTCTTGCTCAGGGTATTCTTCCCCAGTTGCAAGCAGCAAACAAGGTTAGTTGAGAGGAGACGAGTGAGTACCGAGAAGTATTTTATTTTTGCGATAACCACACTGCGCGAGGCCATTAGAAGATTACGTGTTTTAACGTTTCCGGGGAATCAGCTAAGCTCGAACGACGAAAGAGACAATAGCGTCCACTTGATCGATAGCATGTTATTTTATCGATCTTAAAGAAAATGTTTCGATACGTCATATAATAATAATTTAATCGTTTTAATTATTGCAACCGTGACAAGGATATAATAATTACAGTAGCGTTAGTAGAAATAATAGCGACAGAATATATTGTATCTTTTAACACCAAGGAATGCTGCTGAATCCTTCTAGTATAGAATATACAATTATTTATATTGTTTTAATTATCTTGACAAGCAATACATATTCTTTACCTCAAGAAGAATTACCATTGGCATTTTTCTAATGCGGTAATAATTATATTTCTATTATAAATTTCTATTATAAATAGTGCATAATAGAAAATTATGTTAGGTAATGTCTTTAAACGAAATTAATATTTTCTTGAACAAAAGAAGTGTAAAGTGATACAACGACCGAAACGATTATAATTGAACGATATGCGATTTATCAGCTCGAAGGTACACAAACTTCAAATAAAGTGTTAAGGCTGCTTATTAGATTAGGCGTAGGTGCACGTATAATTTCTAAATTAGATATTTCTTTTATGCTCTGTAATTTGTTTATTTTGTTGCCTCAATAAAATAAGATTGAATTTGAAAATGTTCTTTTTTATATATATATATATGGGGCATCCCAAGTCTATTTCGTTTTAGGCATTCCATGTGACTCTTCCGTGCGTGCCAAACAATTACGCCAAAGAAATTTTAAATTCTCTGCAATGACAACGAGAAGGGTGCAATTAGACAAATTTAAACGGTACAGTGGGAAACTTCTCACATGTTCTTAAAGTTCTCACGAATCTCGGTATCTTCTGTTCGAAACTTTTTCAATTAATAACTGACACGGCAAAAGTTACAAGAGAGTCGACGTATCACTCACAACACTTTGAATTTTCATTCAATGTTCAAATAAAAACTGCTGAATTCAATTATCCCGAACGTTTTTCCAATCGTGCACGACTTTCGATGTCTCTTTGTTGTTATTAGAAATGTTTCATAAATAAAATAACAATGCGATAAATATTCATTATGAAATAAGGTGTAACTAAAATTTTCTAATATTTCTTCTTTTATCTATCATTGTGAGATTGTCAGACATAATGAATTCAATATCATTTTCGTTTATCAGATTCATCTCCAATAAAGGGTTTCTTAAAAGGGTATTCAGAATTTTGTTTCTTAATGCAATGGAATGCATCTGATTTATATAATTTGTACGACGTATTTGTATTAATATATCCATCACGACTATACGAACAAGCGAGTTTTATTATTATTAGACTCGAGCGTACATAAACGTATATGTTATGTACATTTTCTATATTATTGTACGTCATAAACGCATGAAACGTGCGATCTAGCTATTATAAAACAAATCCTAAAGCCCCCTTTGAAAAACCTTTCAACGTTTCAACTCCTCCATTATCACTGAAAACGCTATAATTTCCTGTTCATTTCTCGACGCTAATGAAACAATTGCACGGCAACACATGAAAGGCTCCGCGGTCGGGCTCGTTTCGAATTGTTTGCAAATTTTGAAAGCAAAGTTTGACCTCGAACCGGTCGCGGCCATGGCTGACCCCTGCCTCGCCCACGTTCTCCTCGCTTTCCTCTTTCCTCTTTGTCCAATTTATTTTTAATTTGCGCAGACAGCGCGCAAATGCTACGAGGCTTCTATAATTAGAAATTCTGGCAGAAATCCTGGTCCTGGCGTCTCGTGGCCTTTGCAACCCGCGACAAATTGACTGTTACTCGATGCGCCCTTCTGCGAGGTTGAATTACCCAAGCGGATTTCACTCAAATCCGCCACCTCTGTGCCGGTCGAGTTGCGAACGTACTAATCGACTACGATCCAAACTTGGACTAAGTTTACTCAGACTAGGGTTCATTTGGAATACTCGCATTTCGGTTAACGCAAACATATCTTTATGTATCAGATGTAGACATTAATTACGTGCCTTTACATTTAATCATTTGTAACTGCAGTTTAACAGTTTCGCTGCAGACGAAAATAAGTAGCCGTTCGCTGGGAGTTGCAATCGAGATATTTTTTTTCATGAAAAATTTCTTACGAATGTTCTAATATGATTATTTTGAAAAAAAAAGAAAACAGATATCTGTGCTAACTTATTTTATATATGATTACCGAACAAAACAAATGAAAACTGAAAAATGATAAAAACAACCATATATCTTCAGTTGGACGCACATGTGCGTCATCCGCGGCGAAAGTGTTAAGCATAAGTATTTATCTATCGTTTTGTTATGCTAAAGTATCAAGCTCGGAGCACATTATTTTGTGTAAGAGAAATTTGTGTTAAAAGTATTTTTATTCGCAAAATCATAAACGAATTATTTGAAATAATGAAAAAGTTGTTTAGAAATATATTTTCAATTTTAATTTATTTTCAATTTTATTCAATATACAAATTTTATATATTTTTTAAGCATATGACGCGCCTATACACATTCTATTTAAAATTGAAGAAATTGTGAATTACATAAAGACTGAAAATAGGATATTTAGGTATAGCACGAACGGAAACTTGAGACCACCTGGGTTGTAATTGTAGGTAACGGAATTCGATAAACCGCAATGTTCGATAATGCAAGTAATGTAAGTAATCGACTAACTGCGGCCTTGCAACCCGCCGAGGGAAACATGTTTGCGGGAAATAAATGAGCACATCACTCGAGTTTGCCTCGAGGTGTTTACCGTATTTGAATATTTTAATAGCTTCACATACTGTGCAAACCGTTCAATTAACTGTGTTACACGCTGTTTCGTTACCAATAGTCGATACAGTTCAGACTTCCAAGAGTTTTTTGACTAAATTTCAGGCACATTAATAATTGCCATTGAACTCACGGGATATAAATATTAATCTTGATGACTGAAATCTGTTATTTTTAGAGCGATCTTAGCTAAAGGAAATTTCAATGTCCTCGTTCTTAAAGCTCAGATCGTTGCAAAGGTAATTGCACTTTTAAAAAATGGCTCCTTAATAAACCACGTGTAACGTAATTTTTAATCCATACATATACAGATGAATAACAAATATCTGTCTGTATCCTCAAGATGCATTCAAACGTCGTACAAACGAGGAAATCAGATAAACGCGTTCGTTCATTTCCTTGAAATAAAAAATCTCGAGATGCAAGAATCTCTAGATGCTTTCTTAGCAGTCTATTGCCAGAAATGCTAAGCTTAGGTTGACTTCAAACACGAGATTTCTAATTTGAGATTTGCAAATCAGACCACCCTTACCGCTTCGACAATTGTTTTATCGACACTTCCTAGTTCTAATGAAATTAAACTTACGCAAATATTATTGCTGGTTGATTTACGTCGAACCTGGTGGTGACCGAGAATCACCTCTCGGGTTACTGCATCGCGTTAACGTGTGACTGAGAGTCACCTCTCGAGCGCAAAGGGTTAATATCCCCCTATTGTCGACAACAATTAATCATCAAAGTAACACGTACCAAACACAGATTCACATCTTGACAAACTCGCATTCACACGCAGCGTGAGACTGAATTGTGACGAAGGAATAAACCTATCATTCTCTTCTGCAGCAGCAACAGCAGCAACAGCAGCAGCAACAACAACAGCAGCAGCAGCAGCAGCAGCAGCAGACAACGAATCAGCAGCTAGAAGTAAGGAACTCGATAAAGGAGGTAACCTCGGCCATTGTGCACTACGTGCAAAGCGGTCAGGAGGTTGCTGGAGGTGGCAGGCTCTCGCCTCGCCCTCGACCCGAAGACTGGGATGACAGGGGCGGAGCAAGGTCAACCAGCCCCAGAGGTGAGCACTAAACAACCCATGCCAAAAAACATCCCACCACCACCACCACCACAACCATCACCACTTTTACTCTCTACGAGAAAGGTAATTTTGAGTTTTCCATCTTGATGGTGTTCTCTATGTCTCTGCATCCGCTCTGCGGCCTAGACGCCTTTCCTCTACTGTTTGTCTCTTGATACATACGTTTATATATATGTATACAGGATGTCCCATCTAATAGGACAGACTGTCTTCTAAACGGTTGGGAGTAGAAAAGGTTGTCACAAGCGAAAGTTAAATGGTATCAGATCTAATATTCATTCGTTCGTTCATTTATTTAAAATTCGTAACTTATTCAATTCAATTGTCTTTATTTATAGTGTGGTCCTAACGGACCGTTTACACTTTTCCTGTAACATTATATAAAATTTACATTTTCAACGTATAATAGTTTCGTCCTTGTTACATTTATTTTCTTATTCTACCTCCTATCTAATATCCTAAAGGTGAAACAATGCAGATAACCTTACCTTCGATAACTTCTCAACGAACAAGTTTAGGGGATAAGTATGTTGGTACTTTTACGTAGAGCACAAGAAACTGCATCGATCTGTGTCGTCAAAAATATCAGTTTCCATTTATAAAAAAGTGCAGTCGCATGTTTTCGATGGACTGGTGCAGAAAAGCAGTGATGGGCAAAACCCTAGACTTGGAATAAATCTGAAGTTTGCCGATGCGTTTGTCACGTTTTCTTCGTTGGAAAATGTTCAACAGAAGAAACGAGACAAACGTATCGGCAAACTTCAGATTTATTCGAACCCTAGGGTTTTTGCTCATCACCGCACAAAAGTGCGTAAAATTACATTGCATGTTACGCACCACCCGATACCATTCAACTTTCACTTCTGACATCTTTTTCTACTCCCAACTGTTTAGGAGGTACAACCTGTTCCAGTTGCGTGGGACACCATGTACATATTTACATATATTCTCGTTCCAACGGAATGTTTGTAAAATAGTTATCTTTCCTCTCTGTTGTTCTACTCGTTTCTGTCGCCGGTTCAAAGCACTACCAAATTCGCTGTCTCTGTTTCAACGTCCTGTTTACTAACGAAAATTGCTTTCAAAGCGGGGCCTCTACCTCCCATTCAAAGAATCAAGCCTTTCACGATGAGAAAACTAGGATCCTCGTACACACGCGCTGTGCCTCCCCCATTCATTCTGCGAATGCTGCACTTGAACGTGCTCGCAATACCGCCGTATCTTTTCAGAGTATCGCTGTTCCCTCGTTTACGCTACCGGCATCTTTTCCATTTCGAGCAGCGTCCCTCCTTCCAGAGACTCTCGAAATTCATCCCCTTTGGTGGGAATGCGAGCACTCGTGTGTTGCGTTGGAACAAAAGTTCGTAGTGGTTTTTTTTTTCCAGTGAAATTTCAAAACAATTCTTGTATATTTCATTTATGATTTATGCTTACTTTTTGCACCTTTGCGATCGATGCCGACACAGTGGCATCTCTTCTTCTAAGTACACGTGTTATCTTAAGATCGAAAATATCATAAATATTTATTATTCTTTGTTACCTTTTTCTAAGGAATACATTTGCTTCGAAAAGAATCAACGTAGTTGCCATAAGCAAAATTGAAGAATTTTTTTTCAAGATTTAAATACAGCGAAACAAAGCCCAATTTTACGGTAAAAGTATCGAATTTAATATATAAAATTTTTCAAAAATATATTTAAAAATCGAGAATGTTTACATCTGCCGAATGGACGAAGGAATATTTTTTTCTGATGAAAATGTACTATCTTGGTAAGAAAAAACGACAACTTTTAAATTCGAAACATGAGGTTATTCGGTCGAATCGCTGCCATTTTGATAACAATCAAACATTCGAAAAATCCTACGATCTTTTGTTCTAACCCGATAAGTAGAATTACGGTTCTGACAGCGATGTCCTCGAAAGAGTTTGCAGGATATTCCGATGATCGTGTATTATTATCTTCTGGATTGGGAGCACCAAGGGGTCCAGAGAAGCTTGGGTCAGTTAATTCTTAGAGGTCCGCGATATATTCAAGAAAATGTTCTTGGAGGATAAGATATTATTTTCTCTGCGATCCGAGTAAAATATTCGATATATTTTGTGTAACTTCTGCGGCTGAATTTGTAATCTTCTTTACTGTAAACATAAAATGAATCCAAAAAAAAAAAAAGAAAAAATAAATTTGCAATAGAGGGTTGAAAAGATAGGATGCGAAACAGACCATATCCAGAGACTCTGCAATGGAAGAGCTCCCCTGCGATCGTTCGTGGCGGGTCTCTATCGAAGCAAGATTGCCACGGTTCCCGAAACGCATTCGACAACCTTGACACTAAATCGTATTTCTCAGAGCATAGATTCGCGACGAGGTCGAGCCAAAGGGTGAAAGGAGGGAAAATGGTCGAGCAACGAAAGACCAGAAGGACCTCGGAACTCGCAACTTTTTCCTCGACTCTGCGCGACCTCTGTCGCTTCTTCGTTGGCTACCTTTGTCTTTAATCACGGGAGTCTCGCCCAAAGTATGCAGAGGCGACTGGTTGCTATTTCGATAGCCTTGTAGCCCCTGTGGTCGTCGTGGCACCGAAATAGATTACCCTGAAGTTTAAATCACCCCTCTGTCTCCGTACGCTTTTCGGTGCGAGCGAACTTATTCGCCACTCGGCCGACCTTAAGACAAAATTAAAACAAACATCGAGAGAACAGCGTCAAGATAACACGTGGCTGGCGGTCACTTCACTCGCACACACACACACACACACACACACACACACACACACACATGGACACGTTCATGCGCCGTTCGTCGACGATGCATTAACACTTTACCTGTCGGGAGCCTGTTCTCTTAAGGGGTTAGTCGCAGTCAGGAAAATGGAAACGGACAATTTCTTGTGTGTTTTTAAGGTATTAAATAATAATTTTTCTGAATGAAATGTAAATATATTACAAAGTATGTCTTAAAGAACTATGAACGAATTTTTGTTTTAAACAAAGGTGAATTCATTTCGTCGTAACAGCCGATGGCTTGGGTGTCCGCTTGATTTGCGGTGAGCAAGATTTCTTCAAACTGGTGCACCTGAAAACAAAATCACAGCTTGCTCGTGATATTTCGACATAAAGTGAAAACTTTTGTTTAATAAAATTAGTATTTTATCCTTACGTTATACCACATTTCCAATAGCGCCTAAAATGGGCGGGCAGGTAAAGCGTGAACACTTGAACGGCAATCCTCATCGACGGACGCGCCTCACTGGAAACGTGTGACGTGTGACGTGCGACCAACGCTTTGTCTCGCTACCGAGCATTACTAACTGTCTGTGCTGTGACGTGCAATCTGTCACTAACGTGTGCGTGTGCCGAATGTGTAAGGCTGCACAATACGAGCCTCTGCAACGTCAGCTTGTTTGCGTTTGTAATTAATATTTTCCGTATTAGAGCTTCACTAATACGAATTAATCTCCGATGCGTGTCGCGTTGCTTCGAGAGAGAATAATCGATCGACGCGGCGCGAACGTGTTAACGATTCACGATAGAAAACGTACCCTACGACGATGTACGTTCTACGTTCTCCGAATCTAGCTCGATAAAGTCGCGCATCACGGTAAACGTAGCTCTCCGATACTTGGTATCGCCACGTTCTTTGTTTGTTGACGAATCGTTGCGAAGTGTCGCGGAATCGTAACTAGAAGCCGCCCAGAACGTCGGCCGACGACTGGTACATGATGTGTCTAATGAAACGAAACTTCTCCTCGAAGGGAGCGTGAAGCTGTGTTGGATGGAGAGCTCGTTCGTTGGCACAAGACCCGTGGACTCACCGGAGACACCGATGAGTTTGGCCACGGAGACCGACTGCTGTCCAGGCTGCAACGCCACGGGCACTGAGTCCTGCAGTTGCATCGACTCCGCGACTTCCGGTCTGTTCTTGGATTTGACGCCCACCCGCGACGACGGCCAGCTACAACAGCAACAGCAGCAACTAGGCGGAGGCAGCAGTCTCTGTCCGTCGCCGTCATCGTCGCTCAATTATCACCACCACCATCCCCATCCCCATCACCATCACCGTCAGCTACACCATCAACAGCAACCGCAGCAACAGCAACGCCATCACCGCGGTGAGTTGCTGCTCGCCTAGCGGAAAGCCAAAAACAAACGTGAACGATCGAGTCAACACCCACGATCGCGAACCTCCAGCAACGGAAAACACACGCACGGTCGCGTTCCCTTGTTACCAGACGACTCTTCGCCGCGTCGTTTCTCCGACGCGGTCGATTCGCTAGGCCCAAGCTGACGAAGGCGATTCGCCTCTCGGGATGATTCTTCGTGGCTTTACCCACGGTTTAGGCGCGACAAATCTATCGTTTTCGGACCACGGTGTCGGCCCTGTCGAGTAACAAATTGGTACGCTGGATTCGATGAGGGATTGAATCGAGGACGGCTGAAAGTGATGGAATGGCTCATCCTTTAATGAAACTCGGAATTTTTATACACGGTCTGTCTAAAAAGAAATCAAACTTTTGCTATGAAAAGAAAAAAGTACAAGTCAAGTTTTTACACACACGTTCATTTACTCAAAATCATCACCCTCTGGGTCAATACAGCGTGTAGAGAACGCGTAATTAACATTTCGAAGGAGCTTTGCAGCTACTGTTTCGGTAGCCCGTTTAGTACGGCGGTTACAGCAGCCTGAATCTCCGAAATGTTGCTATAACGTGTCCCTTGCATTGGAATTTTCAATTTTGGGGAAAGAAAATAATCGCAGGGAGACAGATCAGGCGAGTAGAGTGAATGATCCAAGGTAACGATGCCAATTCCAATAAAAGGGACACATTATAGCAATATTTCGGAGATCCAGGCCGCTGTAACCGCCGTACTAAACGGGATACCGAAACAGGAGCTGTAAAGGTCCTTCGAAATGTTAATTACGCGCTCTCTTACACGCTGTATTGACGCAGAGGGTGATGATTTTGAGTAAATGAACGTGTGTGTAAAAACTTTGCTTGTACTTTTTTCTTTTAATAGCAAAAGTTCGGTTTCTTTTTAGACAGACCGTGTATTTTCCATTGTACCTTTGCGAGAGCGTTATCGATGCACCGGTGAGAATTTCCTGATGAAAATAACTCCAAACACGAACCCATTCTGACCGCTTTTACTTATCAACTGTAAAATCGAACCATAAAAATTTGACCGAACGAGGCCGTGTTTGGGCTCGTTTTCGTCGCTACAATATCGTCTATTCATTGATTACACTCTCTTAAAGATACGATGAAAGGTATAGAATTCACGTTCCACGCGGAAATTACTACCTACTCCGCTTTCGAGCGAACTAGCGACCACTTGTGTCACTCATAAATGGGAATCACCGTTCGGTTCTGTCTAATTGAAGAGTTCTACGAAGTTACGGTTTAGTAAATTACAGCAATTGTTCTTTCAGAAGAGCGCTTGTAGCTTCGATTTACTCTTGACCCCTTAACGCACGAAAAAATTACTGGCGTGTACAGATTATTGTACGCGTGGAATAAATGCGTCAGAGAACACGTGGTTTGCGATGATGAAGTAGCGAGAATTAAAATATAATCAATTTGAAATACATTTGTAAAGATTTAATCGGTTAGTGCCTCGTGGGGTCGAAAGAACGAGGATAGGAAATTAGCGACGCTACGTTCAGGTGAGAGAAAGCTTCGTCGAGAGATTAGGTAATTTTTAGGGACGTTCTTCGATATCTTCCGACTGTTAAAATCAATTTCATCAGTTATTTAACTCCCAGGGTGTGATAAACATATCGGACATTATCGTTAAAAATCCTTTCTGTGTTCTTTCCGTCCAATCCACGTTTTCGCTCGCCACTGTGCAAGTCCGTCGGAACTATTTACAAATCACGGTCGATTTTTCTTGGAAATTGGCAGGGAGCGGTGAACGATCTTCTTGGAAGAGCTTCCTTTGACGTGCTTTCGAGACTGGTCTGCCACGTCGCTTACGTTTGTAATCTGCTCGCCACTTTTGTTTGGGATCGTTTCCAAATCTTGCAACGTGTTACGTCACGAACCTCGTCATCTCACCGTTTCCACGTGACTACTGTTACGTTCTACGCGCGCGTTTCTTGTATCGCGAATCACGTTTGAAAGAGAAATTATTTTTGTACCTTGTTGAAATTATAAATAAGTTACTTCGATGTGTACACTCCCGCGTGTACATGTATATATAAATATATGTTTAAAGAAACTGCGTACACTTTTATCTTTCTACGAGCCGCACGAAAGCGTCGAAAAATCGTGACAATTGATCGAAACGTTGGAAGATCGCCCTTGTAAATTATATACGCAGCTTTTTGCACTCTTTATACTATATACACTTTTTCACGGTTCTCGCTATTGCGCTGCCTCTTTACGCACTTGGTCGCTTCTTTCTTGCATTGTACAACGTGTGAGTCGAAAACAAAGTTGCCTTCCAGAGAGTGGTTACGTTATTCGTTATTAAATCGAAATTTTCTTATCGGAATATTTCATAGAATTTAGTGCAAGTTGGTGAAGCATACGAATGTAATTTATAAAGGATTGTTAATGTTGTACGATAAAATAGATACTTTCTGACAAGTATTCGCGTTACGTTATTGTGTTTGTAAAGACACAACCCTTCCGTGAATCGCAGCTTTCTATTTAAAATCACAGCGTTCGAGATTAGAGGTGTACGCCCACCTGCGCTATCTCTTCAACGCGTTTATCGTTTTCGTCAGCTTGTCCGCTCGCGGAACGTCGAACCACAATATCGGAACTGCTCGAGGGTCTGGATCAATTCCCCGTGCCTTACACTTTGGTTACCGTAACGAAACTCAAGCACAAAGATGGGCAAAATTTCATTCGAACAATAGAACACGAATAGAAACTTTGTGTAGCTATTCCATTCGCGACGATTATTTCATTGAACAGTTATTTGAACGAACTGTTGTTACAAAATTACCGTGTAACTTGATCGTAATTTTTATCGAACAGATAACTAAGCAAAACCTATTTGTCATTTACGCAAATTATGTTATGTACACCAAAATTTTGTCCCATCTCTGGGATCATGCACGCACCAGGAAGGTAATTCGAAGCTGGAAAGAAGCCGCACAATTTTCTACACACGCTCTTTCTTGAAATTCTTCGTTGAACGTCGATGCTGAATCCAGAAGCAAGCATAAAATCGCAAAGAAAATTGAGAATATAAATGTAGATGGAGCCTTCGACTGCCATCTACATTACTGGATTCTGGTCAACGTTTTCCGCATATATTTCGTCATTCCACGGGCGGTCTCTCGACGTCGTTCGTCCATCGTTTCATCGAGGGTAACCGGGACACGTGGAGAGACCTCCTGGTCGATTTTTTGTAAGCCTCGTTCGTTTTTACACGCCCGAACACGTTTACACACACGCGCAAACGAACACCACGATTACGAGTTCTTCTATTTTTTTTTTTTTTTTAATTTTTCGTCACGTGACTATTTTGTAGTAAACTTTGTTACTTTGTTACGATCGCCCCCCTCGTCGTTGGAAGACCCCCACCAATCTCCTCTCTTTGCTCCCAGAGTATACGTTCCCACCCTCCTGCTCTCCGCGTATCTTTGTGCGAAACTACCCTCTCAAATTTAGTCTCCTCTACTTTTACCCTGAGTAGTCTTACTTTTTTGCGTTCATGTATGTTTAATGTAAAGTTGTCCGCGTTTATATTTTATCTGTAGTTAGCTCGGTCTATACGTATATATAAATTTACAAATATCTCTTTCTCTCTCTCTCTCTCTATATATATATATATGTATATGCATACATACGAAGAAACACTTACGTACGATTCGTATACACAACACCGTTTCATTATTACTTGCAAAGCGCGTTGATATTATTATTACTATTATTATTATTATTATTATTAATTATTATTATTATTATTAATTATTATTATTAATTATGATTATTATCATCATTGTTATTATTATGATTATTATGCCATTATTATTGTTACTCATTTAATTACGAGTGCAGTGTTCGCAGAACCGTCGGTAAGCACAAGCGTACTCTTAAGTTATTTCTGCGTTTCTCTTTCTTTTATTTCTCTCTTCTTTATTTACCCCTTTCTTTCTGTTTGCTCGTCGCACCTTGAGCCCGCGATACGTGAAAGTTTCATCCGCCACGATCGATCACTCAAGGAGTCATTCGTTTCTGTTTCCATTTCGCGTCTCTTCCGTAAATGCACACTTATACACCCAATACACGTACACACGCGTACACTTTATCTGTCTCTGTCTCTGTCTCTCTTTCGTACCGGACGGTTCTGCGTGCCGGTGCTTTTGCCTTTCTTAAGTAACTCCGTACTTATTGTTCGGACACACCAACGATTTATCATTTCTTTGTAGAGCGTAATTACCCTTTGACAACAATAAATTATTGTCATTACCCTTTGTGTTGTTTGCGTTGACGTTCCTTTCTCCTACGTTCAAGCATTTCTTCTATGATAATCTTTCACGTTCTCCGCCTCTATTCGAATCCAATTCTTTTCTGTCTCTAGTGTCTTCCCGTTTTAGTAGGGGCCATACGCGCAACTATTGCCACTTACGTTTTAGAGACCTAATTTAAACGTCTAGGACTCTTGCGATACGGAGATTAACGCCGTGGTTCGATAGTCATAAGAATATTCAGTGATCTTTCATTAATTACGAATATATCTGGTAGTTAGGCACGAATTATTATAAGGCATAAGACAGGTGGTTATACTTTGTCAAGCTGAATGAGATCCCTAAACTCTGACATCAACTCTCTTCCATAATTCAAGTCACTCCTATTGAACGATATCAGATGACATGTACTAATTACACTGTAAACCTAGACAATAATCCAAACATCTGTTCTCGTCCATATATCACTGTTCCATACACAAGCTATATATTTATGGCCAAAATAAAGCCACTGCGCGAATACAAAAGTATTAATTGAAATTAGAATTAAATACTTTTATTTTCATAATAAATTACGTAGCTTTTCATGTTACATAAAATACCTGATCTCAGTATAGCAGCAATCCTTGCCATCCTTCTATAATCTATTTCAATTGAACGATATCAGCCTAAACGATAATTCCATCAGCTAGTTTCATCCCTATCGCTTTTCCAAGCCCAAACCACCAGCTCAGGGATCTCGTTAACCTTGTTGAACTACACACGTATGAAGAATCCTGGCCACAACTGTTCTCGCGACTCGTCGTACGATAAATCGCAAAGCGTATGGACCCTACCACCGCGATCGATGGTTGACTCTAGCACCTCACCCTAGCACCCCTATTTGCAGTATCACTCTAGTCAAGTATACATACGTACGCGTATCGATTAATTTGGTTGATGCGCTCTGCTTGTGTCGTCACGGTAAGTGCTGTATTTGTTTCGCCAGCTTTCGTCTTTCGTTCTTTTCCATTTTTTCTCCGCCCTCCTCCCCGTTCCCACCCGGTCAACTTTGTCTCTCGATTTTTATATTTTTCCCTCCTCCGTAGCTTCTGCATCAGCGCGATTGCGCGTATCCGCCGAAGCCGATACTTCCAGCATGGAAATAGAGCGTAAAACAAAGAGGAAACCGTTTCATCGGTATTCCTTCTGGCAAAATAGAAAAAAAAAAAACAAAACAAAAAAAAAAGAGAGAGAACGAGGCTGCCCCTTTCCTAGCCCACCCTATTCCTCCATAAATATCTGGTAAACGTCGAGTTCGAAGCCGAGTCCGTTTTCGTTTTTGCCTTCTGCGCTTTCATGAGCTTCGTGAGAAAGTATACGTCGCTCGGTAGAACTAGGCTAGCGCGACCGAGCGTCTGGTAGATGTAGCTGTTGCACGTAGAAAGTACACACCGTAGACATTGTAGAAAAGTAGACGACAGGTGAAGAAAAATCGTGGACGTCTACGATACCCCTCTCCCAAATCCTCCTTCTATTTTCTATTCTTTTGTTTTTCTTTTTCTTTTCTTTTTCTTTTTCTTTTTTTTTTTGGTATTGGTTTGTTCACGATTCCCTCCTCTCGTACATCCAAGTATCCACGCACGAAGAAGTCCGAGAGAGGTGCTTGTACCTTCGCGACAGCGTTTGGGCTAAACGTGATCTATGATCACTGATTCCTCGATGACACCTGAGGAACCAGCGAACAGGTCAACACGAGAGTCTCGTCGAACGTTTGTCGTCTTTCTTCGTCTCGAGTTCCGCGAAACGGTGTGCTCGAAGTTTGCTCGAGTCTTGTTCCGCAACTTTCGCTGAGACGGAAACCGGGAGGGTGCTCGTTACGGGTTTTGTGTGGAAAGGAGGGAACGAATCCTCCGTTTCGAGCGATCTTTACGGCAATCGTCGACGTTCTAAAGACACTTCAGACGAGTCCGCGGCCCGTGACTCAACGTTTCGACCTGATCGAGGTAAGGACATCTGCGCGGAGTAACGTCGAAGTTGCTGTAAATCCGTGGATTTCGTTGAGGGTGTTGGAAACGGGCATTACCAATGGGCGCCATTTGTTGATGAAATACAGCAAGTAAACGGGATGCCGTTGAGGGCCTTGAGTCTCTAAAGAATAATTTCAGAAAGATGTTCGAAATACGTAGATCAAATTAACCAGCTGGTTCTTTGTAGTAGTAGCGTTACATATTCACGAATTAATCAATTTTTAAGATAAACCGTAAGTGATAGAGTCCGTGGAGATGTTCGATATCCCTATATGAACGCATAATTTACAAACTTGGTAGTTCTAGTGTCGTATAATCATGAATTAATTAATTAATCAAGAATTAGTAAATTCTGTAAGCTTTCATCGGTTAATTTTACAAGAATCGTATCTACTTCTAATTGGATAGCTCTAGCGTTGTAAATTTGTAAATTAATTAATAATCGAGTTAATCCGTGAGAAGCGGAATTAATAGAGCATTGTTAACTGTTCCAAACCTTGTAAAACTTCCTGGCTTAACTTTACAACAAAATATTCATGTACCTTTCTCAATTTGGATGTCCTCTATTATCATGCGAGAGAGCTAAGTGACCAGCTGGTTAGTTCTAGCGTTAAATATTTATGAATTAATGAATATTCGATTTAACCTATGAGTAACTGAATCTATACAGCTGTTAGATGTCCCAAATGTATCGATGTCCTGTTCCCATTTGGGCCCATCGTGCTATAAAGGGTTAACTCGGACGTTCTATTCGCGATAGCATTAGCAACGTGGGAGTTTTGTGTAGCTCTCGGTGCGGCGAAACGAGCGAGAGAGATCGTAATAGACGTCTACCGAAAAAGTGGCGCGTAAAGAGGATCCTTGACTAACACCCCAACGAAACACATGACGAGCACCCTAGAACGTTGATGGTCGGCTAAGGGGTTTTTCGACCTTTTCACGTACGTCGACTCTCGCACGCGTGCTTTCAGTAAAAATGCTTCAAGTAGCGATCGATTCCTATGCAACAGTTATAAGGATACCCAATTGCTTTTTAACGAAATGTGCATCGAGCGTTTGAGTAATTGCGATTTACATTATGCATCCCTCTGCCACGTATCGTGTACAGTTCCTGCGATTATTTCTATTTCACCATCCGCGACACTAGCCTTTCATTTGTTGATAACATTTACGAGCTGTTTGGACGTCGATTGCAAACATAAGTTGTTCACTCTGTTAAGTAGAAAAGTTGGTTTTTTCTTTCTTTTTTTTTTTTAAACCATTTGAAATCAAGATACGCTTGGTATGCAATCAGTCACAGAAGTCTTTATGCATCCCGATTTGATTTGAACAAAAATTCATGTAAAAATGAATATGAAACACCACAGGAGCTTCCATAGCTTTGTAGTCTACGTGTGCTCGTATCTTCCTACTTTATTCTTTCTAAATCTTCGCTATAGCAATAATAAAATTTAGTAGCAATAAAATAGGATGTACTACAAATAATTTATATATAAATATTATATATAATATATGTTTTATATAAATTATATATATAATATATAAGTAAATGCTTCACGTATAGTGAAGTGAAGTGAAGCTTTTTTTTAGTGTATAGTGAAGCTTTAGAAAGAATAAAAAAGGAAGATATACGTACATGTAGACTATAAAGCTATCGAAACTCCTGTGGTGCAGCCTGTGTTTACATAAATCAGCTAATAAATCAATACTGCTGTCGCTATTAGTAGTTGAAAACCGGCTCCAAGGGAAGAAAAGGAAAAAAATTGCAAAGCTTCACAGGCTTTCAATGGCGCAGAGGGAGAACAGTATCATCCGGATGTCTCACAACAATCGGTCTATAATAAAAGAAATTTCAGTTATCCGTACGATACCGTGTAGCTTGTCGCTGTCAGCTTTATCATCTTCCTTAGTAACCAACCATGCTGCTTTATTCTTGCTCCCGTACGTATAAAAACTAATTTGCAAAGACGTATTCCCAAAGAACCCCCGTTACCGATCGTTGCTCGTCGCAACGAAATCGAAATCGACGTATCGTTTATTGGAAAGCATCGTTATTTCCCGTTGCACGGTTCACCTAATCGGCAGCTACTTGAAGCACATTCGAATGGGCCTCGAATATCCCCGCGAAGCGGGCAGAAAAAAAAAAAAAAAAAAGAAATGATCGCGAGACGCGATCATAGACAGGACGACACGATAAAACGAACGAACGTTCGAGGCCAAGAGGATGACGCGGACGTCTCTGTCTCTTTCTTGACCCCTGCATGAAACCGATTAGGATCGGGCCAGAGCGATTCGGACGAGGCGATGGCGACGGCAGCTCTTCTGCGGAACAAACCGAGCCCCGGTTCCACGACCCTGGAGGACGTCCTTGACTCCCTCCTCGGGCTGCCATCCGCGTCGCGTACCCCGAGTCCTGGGCCAGGACCAGTCGTAACCGGCACATCCGCCACCATGCGACATCGAACTAACGTCGGCCAGGCTAATGCGAAAGCCGGGAAGAGCTGCAGCGACCTACGCCAAGACCTCCAAGGTAGGAGGACTATGTAAGTTTTCGTTCTGAGGCAGATCCTCTCGAGGGACTCGAGAGAGCTCAAAACCTAATCTACTTCCTACCAAACTCTATATGTGTGTGCAAGTGTCTGTGTGTATCTATCTTGTGTATATGTGCGCCCGCGTGTATGTTGCCGCCTTGTACAGTCGAATGTTAACATGGAATATTGACGACAGCATGTAAATTTTCTTGGAACAGACGTGTGTAACCGGATGTTCGCGAGCAATGGTACATGCCGAAGCCAGTGGATGTTTGAAAGGAATTCAGCACACATGTTGAAATTAATGCCTAACGATTGTGGACATGTTTTCTTTGCATTAGTTTTTTTTTTTTTTTTTTTTTTTTTTTTTTTTTTTTTTTTTTTTTTTTAATTATTTTATAGGTACTTATTAACTATTTTATTTTATAAATTATTCCACGAGGAGAAAGAATTCTTAGGAACATTATCAAAGTTACACTTAAAATTGTTTGATTTCATAATTTCGTGTGACTACCAGTGATGGTTCACTGTGAGTGGTTCACTCGTGTGGTTCACCTTCAACTAAAGATAAAAATTTGTTATCTACGATAATTCTATTCATACTGAATTTAATTTGGAGACTAATTAGAACTATCTTATACAATAACTGCTTGTATCAAAGTTATTCTAGTGTAGCATAAAAAACCTTAGGAGCTACATCATCGCTTATTAAATCGAATAACGTTATTTATAAGATAAATTTTACTTCCAATAAATATTTACTTCCATTTCAATTCAATTGTGTCCAACTACAAAACTAGGTTAAACAATTTTCGGTTATGGATTATTTTTAACAATTTTTCATTCGTGTTCCTTACTCGCAATTTTAATAGGAAACTGAATAATATATTCAAATGGTATGCTTTAATAAAACATCCTACTGGCTGAGCGTTATTTTTATTTTTTCATTTGTAGCTGTCGTAAGCGACACATGTGAAATAAATTCTTTCTCCAGCAATTTCCTTGGAGTTTCGATAAAATCTTGGTGCATTATACAGTGCCCGAGAGGTAATGTACAATAAAATCTACATGAAGTTAATAATTCATGGGCGAAATAAATCTGGAGCGTTCGTTTAAAATTTACAAGTGGAAATTTGAATACAACGATACCGCCTATCACTGTCAATTTAAGAAAGAATCTCATTTCGAGACATTTAAGGAATCTAAGGAATTCCCATGTCGCAGTGCGATAACATTTTCACGCTACGTGAACGGATAAAAGCCCAGGAAATGTAAAATAAATGAGAAAATTAATTATAAACTTTAAAGGAGAAATTGTTTCGGATCCTCTGTTATTTTCGTTTTCACGTCATTTTTCCAACCAGCAAACCATGAAATGTACATGTTAACATTCGAATCATTAAAACCATTGCGCGTTTTGTGTCGTCCCCAATTTATGCGCTCCGATTGTGTTTCTCTTCGCCTCGTCGCCACTCGCCCTTCACCAACACACCCGTTACCCTCTTTCTCTACTTTCTGTCTCTTTGTGTCTATTTTACCACCGTCTTTCATTTTGTTCTTGGTTCTTCATTATAAAAAAAAACGGTGTTTGCGTTTCGTCTATGTTTTCACCAAATTTATTATATTGACACAAAGGGGGAAACGACTCTCGCGTGTCGTGATACTTTTCATATATGTTATCCGTTTATATTTCATTTAAACATTTTATTTATAAATCTTAGGTAAGTACGAGATGTGGTGTGTGGCAGAATTAAACGATCTGACTGTGCCGAAGAGATCCAAAGTGGAAAAAAATTTTACTTTTGTAATTTATATGATTTATTTAACCGTTTCGTTATGGGTGCTATAGTCGGCATTATTGATTCAATGGAAATAATTATTCAAATAATATTATCGTTGTGTATTATTTATATAAATATTAGGAAACGTAAATGAATTTTATTTTATTGTTCAGTGATTGAATTCTAATGATTCAAAATCCGTGATCGTACTAAGTAACATATTCACATTTGATAAAGATTCGAATTAAAATAAAAATAAATTTCTCATAAATTTAAAAAAAAATTGTACATATACATAAAATAAAACTTAATTACTTTCATCCAGTTTAAACATTCGTCGAAACGGAACACAGAAAGAAAGAAGAGAAAAGGAAAAAAAAACTTTAGGTACACCTTAATAATAATAATAATAATAATAATAATAATAATAAAAGACACTGTAGACTAACAATGCTGATCGAAGTATCCTACATTCGCACAGTTCGATCGATTAATTCTCAAACACCTTCCAATAATAAATACATGACACAAATATAGAAGCATGCAAAATTGTTCGTAAGAGAAAAACATTGAAACGCTGACGCCGTTCCTCGAAACAGTGCACTAGGAAAGATCGCTCGTTCGCGTCGAACAGAGCGCCGAACGCTTTCTCGTTGCACTGTTCGCATCGTTCTCCAGAGTCCTTCCCGGTTCCTCGATCGCTTGACTCATTTTCTTAACCACGATCGGCGACAGAACGCAACTCTCGTTCTTGCAACGAAGGAATAAAAAAAAAAAAAAGAATACAACCCTCGCGCGTACGGGAATGTTTCCAATTTCCGTTTCTTTCAGTTGCACTTACGTTTGTTTACACCTTTGCAGAGAAGAAACTACGTCTAAAGTTCAGGGAGGCGGAATCGTAGCATCTCGCCTCCTTTGAATACAGACGTCTCGATGCGAGGCTTATCGATCAGAGACGAATTTAGCGGTGCCGAAACTAGCCATTCTGGGACCCGGAGAGCTAATTACATTTATGACGGCGACCGCAGCAGACGCGATTGATTAAAAAATGCCAAAAATTCGTAAGGCCTTTTCAAAGTTTTTTGTCTACGTTTTTTAAAAAAATTATTTTTTTTTCTCTCTCTCTCTCTCTCTCTCTCTCTCTCTCTCTTTCTCTCTGTTGCTATTAACTGATTTCGATTGTTTCGTTTATTCGCACTCGAGCTTAAAAGGCACTCGGGAGGGTGATTAGAAAAGAAAAGTTGGAGTGTATCCGTTTTTTTTTGGTCACGCATACAACTGACACGTCACCACGATAGTCGCGTGGTTCGCGTCGGTTCCTTGATCCCTATCGGGAGAACCTAACTAACACTGCAGTCACAGGGATTCATCACGGTAATCATTTTCATTCCATACACACGGCATTGCTTACATTGTCACGTTCCATTCTGCTTTGACACGATCGATCGTACCGATACCGTCTGCGAATAAGAGGATAGTGGAAACGATTCCCTTTGGAGTTGGATCGAAATCAGATGACCGCTCAAGACCACGATAAGAACTGAGCACCTTTGGCAGGTGATGAGAATGTTTTTAAAGGAAACGCTCACTTCGAGTGGTTCAGTGAATACTATCATAGATGCACTGGGTAGCATTTCAGTCAAATTATTGTGACTTACGCTTGGTTCAAATCATTCTATCCGTATTATTATACAGCTGAGAAATAATGCCTTTAAGAAGGCAAGATAGAAAATCTAAAAAATATCGGAAAAATATGGGATAAGTAAATATTTTTAAGTTTCAAACCTAGTCATCCGTCCATACACCAACTACGCATCTAACCCCTTGTACCTTTACTCACTAACTCCGAATAACACGCCCGACTCCTTAACATCTCTACGATTCTCATTGGTCCTTTCCCTTATTTCCACCACCCTTCTAAATCCTTAAACACAAACCTTTAAAAGGCACACCAAAACTGCTCTCCCGAGCATTTTCGTAATACAATTTAACAGAAGCAAGAACGTAGCGGTAATCTAGTTTCTAAGTACCGAATAGTAATAGAAACCGAACTTTGAAATGAATCGGAATCTAACACATTGTGTGCCATAGCTCTCGGTAGAGATCCTTTCTGACATGATCCACGGTGTCGGAATAGGTTTTGAGCAGTCAAACGATTTCGCTCTGGCTAAAATCGTAAAGAGCATTTCGGTACATTACCTAAAGTTTGTCAAAGCGGTAAACCTGGTACGATGGTCGTAGGCATACGCCCAGTCACGCGATCAATTATGTCCGCGTTATGACGATCCCAACATTTATCAAATGTCGCAGAGTCCGCTAGAAGTGTGATGGACGTGCAAGGAGCCACCGATGAGCGTGCTTCGTACTACGTGGGTGAGCTCGTCAGACGGAAGAGCGAGGGCAGCGATTCGATACCGTCGAAGGCGACGACGATGCAGTCGAGAGGTGGCCCGCTGCGTCACCGACGTGTCTCCTTCGACAACAACCAGGAGTCGAACGGTTTGATGGGGAACGCCGGCGAGAAGATAGTCCGTTGTCGCAACAACAAGTGCGGCAACTCCACCAGCTTGGCCGAGGCGAGGAGAAGCTACAAGAGCTGTCACAACTGTACCTGCCTCTACTGTTCCCGAGAGTGCAGGAAAGCGCATTGGCAGCGTCATCGGCGCACCTGTCTGCACTCCCGAGCCGGTAGCCTCTGCAAGCAGGTGTTGTCCTCTGCCAAGGAGGATCCCATTACGTTGAAGCATATCTCGGCGCTGGCGAAACGTGGCTACGCGTCTCACGGTCGCGGCGCCGTCAAGTGCTTCTTCTCCAGCCCCGAAGTGGCGGAGAAGTTCATCGGGAACGGATTCGTGGATCTTGGCGAGCCCACTTACGTCAGATGGTCGGATCTACTCGCCAGCGAGATGGGACCGGACCTGTACGCCGAGGTGATACGGCTGTGCAAGTCGTACAACCCGGACACCAGGCTGGTGCTGTACGTGGCCGTTTGCGTGGTCAGCGAGGTCCCTACCAGCGGAGCCGTTAAGTGGGAGCGACAATTGGTATCCAGATGCGCCAAGATTCACTTGGACTCCGCCAGCAGACACCACACGTCCTCGTCGTCCGCCTCGCCGCAGGGCAGGCAACAGTCTACCTCGCCCTGCAATATCACAAGGGAGATGGAATCCCCCGAGATGCTGGTGCTGACGTCGTTACCGGGAAACAACAGACAGAACACCCCCAAGAAGATCAGGGAGATCAGCTTCACGAACATCCAGGGACAACTGAAGCTACGGGGCGTGTCATTGAGAAGACACTTCCCTCAGGTATACAGGAAGCTCCGTGCTTACGTGGACGGGACCGTAGACAAATTCGCGCCAGTCACCATCTATCCGCGAGACCAGGCGTCGGGGAAGAGCTTCGTGTGCATCATCATACTCGACGTCGAGCCCGAGCGTCTTCAGCTACTTCCTACGGATTCATCTAGGGTCAGAACCGTCGACATTAGCGTCGAACAGGAATGAACAACCGTTCCTTCGTTATTAGATCGAACAATTTTTTTTACTAAACTTACGATCGGTAAGACTTAAATTGCAGGCCGCGGTTCAACGGGCGAGAACGAAGGTTCGAAGGTTCGCCGAGTTTCATCTTCTGGCCAGGGCCCCTGGATGAAAGGAAACTTATATCTTGACCGTATCGTCCGCGAGCGAAACAGCTGAAGAGAGGTCTCGGTGTAGGGCGTGTAGTAAATTGAACGATAGCGAATCGTCTCTTGAGAAGAGACCTACTCGGTCTTTGAGGGAAAGATGAGTCGATTTGGCAAATCGAGGATGCCTCGAGTGGTTGATATTCTAGAACGCTTAGCGTGGAGCAACGAACAAAGTATACGGACGAAATAGACTCTCCGTTGTCGACTCTCTCGACTTGACTCGGTTCGAGATAGGTCTGATCGTGTGTACTCGTAGTCTGCGATAAACTTTGCTGGTACACGTTACGTTACAATTCTCCGAGTTGTTCATTTTTATCACCTCGATATCGAAGAAAGTCTTTCGACTGTTGTCCAACGACAAACCGGTTCTCGTGGATATCTAACGAACGTGTTTCCCCATGGTAACTGACGTCTGACGCCAGTGTCGTTCGCGAGTCTTGTTCGTCGACCTTAGAGTACTCCTCGGAATTGCTTCGGTAGATCAAAAAGAAATTTCTCGATTTGGTTGTTGCTCTATCAGATGTTTATTAATTGTATCGATCGTCGTAGGAATCGGCGAGTGTTCGCGATGACACTGCGGTTTCTGGATCTTTATGTCAAAATTATTGGGTTATTCGGAAAGCTTGCGCCGACTTGCGTGGACCTTCAAAGATTCAGATATATTTGTTTAATTATTAGGGTGTACCGAAAGTTTTTTCTAATTTGTCTTCTTTTCTTTCTTTGTCGTGTTTCAACGAATGTTCAAACTAAATAAAACTAAACAAATTTTATGTCACCATTGTGTAACTAGAATTTTTAAATAATTGTATATTTCTGATTGTCTTGATTTCGAAAAATTATGAAAAACAATGAAATTCGCGGCCATCGATGTCATTATAGATTGATTTTGTCTATCTGGATTGTTGAAATAGGCCCAATTCTCATCGTAAGTTACACTTGTAATACAATGACATAAAAGAATGCGAGTTTCAATGTTTTCCACAATTTTTCTAAATTGTTCTATAGTACTTAATACTCGATATGAAAGAGTAATTCGGGAGTTACAAAATGGTGCGTATGATGTGGAATTAAGACACTTATTTAGTTTAAATATTCGTGGAAAGAGAAACATAAGAAAAAGAAAGAAAAATTCTAAAAAATCTTTTCATTTGCCCTAATATATAGGCGCCATTTTGTTTCAGAACTTTTCTCCATCTTTCACGCAACTTGAAGATTCCATCCTTGTAGAAACACTTCTGAGGTTTGTTTCATATTTTTAACATTTCTGTTAATTCGGGTGCCGTATAGCGCGGACTATTACGTATTTGTCAGCGTTTTGCTGTAATCTTCGTCAATGCCGGATGGACTACTCGTGCGTCTTTGGTCGTCAAAGTTGAAATCTCTAGTATAACTTAGTAAGCCACTTTCATGCAGTTCATTCGACTACATATAACGTCTTCGTTGTAAAAAATACTTTTCAGTAAAAGAACAGCATTAAATATCTCTTTGTTTCCTTCTATATTCAAGACCATATAAAACTGACAAAAATTGATGTATCCTAACTTATTTGTTTTCAATCATTCTGATATATTCACACCTGCTCTCTAATACCACCAATCAAAAATCGCCACGAGCTTTCCGGACAATCCAACAACGATTCTGAACCCATCGAAAGCTTAGCCTCTACACGTCGAATTTTGCATTTGTAAATCGTGACACGAGATATTCTTGTATCGACGAGAAAGCTTTTCTGCGGCTACGTTTCGTTGTCGATGACATGATCCTTTGAAACAGGTAAAAACCGCTGGCCACGAGACACGGTTCGAGCACCCCAAACCTCGACGGATCGTTTTCGAAAGTAACGACGATAGGTATCTTGTTGTCCTTTCGTTCGATTTAACGTATTTACGGTTGTATCTTTTGAATTTTATCGTATATATTAAATATATATATAGATATTTAAAGTCTCGTCGACGCCATCGGACTACCTCGAGCACGTGATCACGAATATTCTACAATCTACGGTGCGAGACAAAATAATCCACTCGTTTTTATTTATATTTGGAGACACGCGTAAGAATAAATATATTTTTCGCGCTCTATATATTACACGACCCATTTTATATAAACACACGGAAAATCGTCGTTGTTGAATAAACTTTATGAACATTAAGGAAAAAATTGTAAATAAAAGTTAAAATTAATGAAATTTCCCTATCAAGGAAAACAAAAGTGTACAGTACCGTACATTGTAATCCAAGGAAGTATTAGAGTATACAATTGGTGAAATTCTGTTATTTCGTTCAGGAAATTATCCTATATCGACAATTGGAAAATTAATTTATTAAAGGATCCTTCAAATTATAATTGCGAAAGCGATTTTCCGTGCGTTTGTAGGAAATGAGACGTGCAATATAAAGGGTTCACAAAATATCTATACTCTTACGTATGTGTCTAAAATATAAAGAAAAAACGTTCGGTGGATTAGCAGTTTGTCCTCCTACGCTGTAATAGGGGTCTCGAGTCAGCTTGGACGCGTCGATAAGAGGGCAAAAAAAAAAGCGTAGATCGCGAATGGCGTTTCCGACCATTCGAAACCTCGTCGTAGAAAACTCCTCGAAGTCCGAAGTTTCAGCCCCGTAACCCGACTAGCACCACCGGTGTCCCTGAAAGTAGTGTTTCTACCGAATAATCGTCGAGCTCAAATCCAATTACAACCATTTTCACAGACGCGATCTTTGTGCCAAAGCGTCGAGAACCGTACGATCCTCGAAGTTAAGAAAGTAATCTGCGCGGATCGCGATACACCAGGAGAAGAAGCGAAACTTTTTCTGGGAAGCGCTTTGAATATCTGATCTCGTGGACTAACATCGTGGCATCGAGGAGCTCTTTCAATATCATCGAATCTTTCTTCTCGGGAACATTCCTTTCAACTGTATCATGGCCGAGACTCGAGGAGACGTCGATTGATCTCTGAACAGTAAGGAACAGGGAGTGTCAAAAATGGTACCTCGAAAGAAATTGTTTTCTGAGCAAAGTTCAAGTTGTTGTTCGTCGATGAATTCTCGTTGAACAAGAAAGGTTTGATGCGCGTTAAAATATTTTATGCGAACAGGCATCTTAATGGTCCTCAATAAGCCAATTCAAGATTTTTATAATGCTCGCGACACTTCATTCTTGGTTTCTCTTCAGGAATGAGTAACTCAGAATTTAGGATTAGAAAAGTATTTCATGTAACAAAGAATAACATAAAATTGAAGGAAGATGCTAGAATGTTATAATGAGTTTTCTTTTTTGTATATACATATTTTAATATCTAAAAATGTTGTAAAAATTACGCATATTTAATGTTATATGACCATAAGGTTATCAGTTATTTAAAAAATAAATTTTAAATATATCGATGCTGAGGTTCGTGTTATTGTTATAAATTATGAGAATTGTGTTATTGAAGTGTATATAACAATATTAATTTTTATTATGTTAAATACTTTTCTAATTTTATGTTTTGAAATCGCGTATTCCTGAAAGACCCAAAAGGAAAGGGTAAAAAGCATTGAAAAACAGTGAAGTGACTCGTTAGAAACCATTAAAATATTTTACTATTTATGTCATGTTTCTTGACTCAAACTTCACTTGAAAGTTATGTCTGTAAAATTCAGACTAAAGCTGTTCAGTATTTTCAAATGTATACTATATTGAAGTCATATTAATAACATTGTACTCGAAAATCTTGAACAGCATTAAAATTCTCATTCTGTGTAATTTTCATAATTTTTTTTATTGACGATCAATAAAACAAAATGACAAGTCACAGCATTTGCCAGGCAAAACCGAGTAAGGACTGATCAAAACAATCAAGGTAAACAATGACAGTGCCAATAATAATAAAACCATTGATACCTTGTTGCTCAAAAAATATTTCTTTCTCACAATGCAAATGAGAAGTATGTCTCAACTGCGAATTTTAAATTTTAAATTTTGGCCAAAAAAAATTAACTCATCCAAAAGGCACTTGTAAATTCTACGGATTGATCGATTCAAAGGCTCCAGTTTACTTCAGTTAATCTTAGGTAAAAGGAAACACTGCGAAGTAATTTCTAGTGCCAATGACAGAGAATCTCTTATGATTCTATAGATTCAAAGTGTTCTGGACTAGTAGAATTAGATGAATATTATTCTTGTAATGATACAGTAACTTTGCTGAGATGTACTGCAAAACTGATTTTTCTACAGTTTGATGTTGCATCTACTTCACTTAAATACCATTGCCATGGAACAGATATAGAGGATGTTAAGAAATGTATAAAATAAATTTTGCATACGTTTAGTACTTGTCAAAATAAACAAAAATGGTTATCCTACAGAAGTTAACACATCGTGAATAGTTTTGAAGAGTAGAATTTAGAATGCCAGTACTTACAAGCTAAACGGGTTGGTATATTATAGTAAATATTACCAGAAACTACATTCAAACAATGAAACATTTTTATTATGTCTCCTCCATTACAAGGCATTCCAAATGTATAATATGTATCCAACATCATTTCGTACGTTTGACTGAATAAAAAAATGAACTGAAAATAAATAAATGTAGGCTTATCATAGAGAAATAAGATGGCTTTCTAATCTACACGAGCGTCAATGAAAAAGTGTGCCAAGTTTTGCATTTACATTGATGGAAGGTATATAGAACACCTTCTATAACTACAGAAGGTATTCCATTACTAAAAAATAGCTGGTTTCCAGATCCACATTTCTCCATACTTTCTCGTGTATTTTGACGTGTTCTAAGCGTGTGCTAAGTTTGTAACCATGATTTTGTAAACATCCTGCAAAATAAGCTCGCCACTTTTACCTTGAATTATAGTTGTCTACTTTAGACTCATACGCGTAGTGCATTTGTCAGATGTAGCTGGTAAACAGAAAATATTTTGAGAAATGTATTTCATTCAGGTTGCAATAAGATTTGAACGGCTGTTATATACAAACTAGTTCAACAGAAATTATCTCTTTTATCGCGAAAGAATTAAAATTAGACACGGGATAAGCGATTGAATGGTTTCATAGTAGGAAGAAGGAATAAAAATAATTGTGTACAATAGTATGGGTTAATGATATTCATACAGTATAGAACCCTGTCTGTTTCTATATCAGATTAGAAATTTGTTTTTAAATAAATCTAACAACCCATGGTACACGTGCATAGATATTTTATTGTCAAGTCAGTTAATTTCATATTTTATCTTATAGTTATTATTTAGACTGAGATGTTAGTACAAGTTCATACAACTGTAAATTATTTTATAGAAGATATAACTAATTTAATAATAAAATATGCGTGCATGTACAACATAATTTTTGAAGTTGTTTTTAGAAGACCTTTAAATCTACGTGAAAAAAATTGTTATTATGATCTCATACAAAAAAACATTATATAACATTTATGCTAAAAAATAAATGATATTTAGGAAATGATCTGTTCACGTTTAATTTGCCCTATGAAACCATTCAACCTTCATTGTAGATATTTGATCGTGTTTAAGATCAAAAAAGATATCCTCTTCTATAATTATTTTCTTCGTTATAATATTAAAACATAAATTTATATTCATGTTTTCTTCCATGTTATTTAGAGCTCATTTTTATATATTCTAATTAATACTATATGCCATTAATGTTTGGCGCAAAGTTTTCCATAGTCATACATATACATTCGTATGTATATTTAAATAAGAATCAAACGAAATTATAATTATAAAGTATTATGCTTACTGACAGAAGTAAAAATTCTGAACACGAAA